TTTTTGGTTTTTCTCCAGTACCGGGAACCGAACTCACGACCTTGCGCTTGCCAGGCAGGCGCTTTTGCCGCTGAGCTAAATCCCCAGCCCTTAAGTGAATTTTGGAAGCATCAGATCAAGTGCTGCTTCCTTTGGGCAGCAAATTGTGTTAAATTCTATTGAGTGTGAGCATACAGAAACTTCATTATCATAGACTTCTTTAGCATAGACCTTGTTGTCATAGATCTCATTATCATGGACTTTGCTATCATAGACTCCATTACCATAGACTTCCCTATCATAGGTTTACTTTTCATACACATCCTTATCATATACATTATTATCATAGACCTCATTATCAGAGAGTTTGTTGTCATAGATTTCATTATCATGGATGTTGGTATCATAGACTTCCTTATCATAGGTTTACTTTTTATACACGTCCTTAGCATAGACCTCATTATCGTAGAGCTCATTATCATAGACCTCATTGTCATAGCCATTTTAGGCATTAATAATGCCCAGACCCTTGGGAAATGGTCACTACCCATCTGCAGATAGTTTTCTCCTGCAAAACTGGAAGTCTTTCACACACTAATGCTCCATTCTTCCTTCCTCTCCCTCCTGAGACAAACACTATTCTACTTGCTGTCTCTGTGGTCTGATGACCTTAAGTGAAAGAGTTCACGTCCTTTTGTGATGAGTAATGTCGCTCAGCATGACACCTTCACAGCTTGTTCGCCTTGAGCTGTGTGTCAGAACTTGCCTCCCCTTCAGGCTGAATGCTATTCCCAGGGACACCTGGCTTGCTGCACCTTCTGGCCACCTGCTGCCATAAATACGGGGTACAGATTCCTGCTTCTGTCTCCTCACTCACAGTGCATACTTCGTGCACCCCCAGTCTGTGCCAGAAGGCCCTCACTCTTGGTGCTTCTCAGAACCGTGAGCGTGTGTCTCTCGAAGTCCTCTGCACGCCCCGTGCTGAAGTGCTAACCACACCCAGCGCCAGTGCACTGAAGACTGCATCTGCTTCTCACTCATCTCCTCACCAGGCTCCAGGCACAGGGCCTGGCATCTGTGAAGACGCTGACAGACCTGCCTCTGCCTCCTCCCTCAGCCTCCACTGGGCAACCATAAAAAGTGTCTTCTCCATGCTTGCTCCAAATCCACAGAGACCAGAGTGTGTCTCTCAGGTCCAGAGCCCTGGCTTAAGCTTACATCCCCGCCGGTTTCTCTCCTCAGAGACACTTAGCTCAGCAATCCAGACGTTCCAGGAAGGGGCTAGATGCCAGAGTGCAGTGGCTGTGTGCTTGATCCAGGGCCAAGAGCAGCTCCCACCAGGGGGGCCTGAAGACGGTTGTGTTCCTGGGTATACCCTCCGCTGGATTGGAGCTGAACCCCCGGGCACTGGAGCCTCCTCCAGGTGAGAGGTCAGCAAGGGAGGAAGTGCCCACCACCCTTCTCCTGTCAGAGGAGGAGGCCAAGTACTGCTTTGGGCTGTAAAGACAAGGAGCAACAGAAAGAGAAAAATGTTTTCAGAACACACAATGCTTCCTAGGAACTAACTCTAAATACTTTAGAAATTTTAAGTCATTTACTGCCTAGGAGTACTAGACAGAACTAGATCTAGCTATAGATGTTCTAGCAATTGTTGTTATAGATACAGCTATAGCTATAGAGATATAGATACAGTGGCACCTTTGTTCATGAACTTAATTTGCTCCACAATTTTGGAAAAGATGACCATGTTCGTGTTTGTGTGGGAAACGTGGCTGTAGTCACGTTTGTCATTTGATGCAGAGTTTGAAAAAAAAATTTGCCAAATCATTTGTAAACAAAAGTGTTCGGGAACCAAGATACCGCTGTATAGATACATAGAGATAAAGATAGAGACAGATATAGATACAGTAGATATAGATGCTATAGATGCCATAGATGCTATTGATGAGATACAGATATAGATGATATAGACAGAGGTGAAGTAGTGTTCAGGTGACTTCCTGACAGGGTCTCACTGAGTTGCTAAGTTTCCCACACTGGGCTGAAACTTGTGACCCTCCTGCCTCTGCCTCCCACAATGCTGGGAGTACAGGAGTGTGGCACCACACCCAGCTCCTTTCTTTTAGGATGAAAATCATTGACAATATTCTAGAAATCTCTCTTGTTTTCAAGAACCACTCTACCGTCTCTAAGAGGTCTCACATGTGGTTGAAACTATTACAAAACTCATTCCAGTGAGGAAATTCCACACACATAAGAAGCCACATAGGCTTGCTGTGGATGAAGTGACTTTCCTGGAGCCTCAAGAGGTTTCCAGCACCTGGGACAACAGCCCAGGTTCTTGTGCTCTCACAGGGGCACAGCTCCTGAAGCTCGGCCTTATTTGTACCAAGCCCTATTTGTACCAAGCCTTGGCTAGAAAAGTGTTGGTGGAATGGAGTAAAATTAGACTACAAAGACTTCTAGCGAAGACTTTATCTTGTCATCAGGAAACTTTTGTGTTGCATTGAAGAAAAGACATCTCAAAGCCAGACCTGTTGTGCTTCCAAGCTCAAGCTTTAACCATGCTAATCCTCCCCTCACCCCACAGCAGAGAAGTTACGTACAACCCAAAGTAGAACATGACTGTCTCACAGAAGCTCACAGAGTTCCCACAGTCTCCTCAAGACACAAGCTGGAAAGATCTGTCTGGGGAACTGTGCATGTCTTTCATCAGATCACTTTGAATCTAGTGTAGATATTGACAAATAACTTCACGGATAAACAAAGCAGCAGAGATGGACTTGCCTCTGAGCACTCCGGCGCTGTCCCTAGGACACGGGTGTAGCCCCTGGGGTGCACTTACGGGCACAGTGTGGATTTTCAGGAGCACCTCACTGCTTCTTCTCAGCCATTATTAGGAAGAGTGGTCTAGAGGATTCATGCAGGAGCTGTGTCCTGGGTGGAGAGTGAGGAAGGAGAGTGGGAATCAGACCCAGACCCAGGAAGGGGGCAACAACATAAGGGAGGCACCGCAGAGCAGTGAACGTGCTCTCCACAGTTCACACAGCTCCGCATCCGGTCCTGAAACTGGCTGACCATGGCCTCCTTTCCAATGAGGACAGCTGTGCCTGCAGAGCTCCAAAGCCAACCAGTGAGAGCTCCAGATTGAGTCTGCAGAAAGCACCTTGAGGACCGAGCCCAGGCTGAGGGGAAGCTCGCGTTCAGCACCATAGACAGCGCCGACGGCTGGACTGATGCTCAGGTACTGAGGGTGAAAGATAGAATCACTGCCCCAGGACTCACACTGCTGTGAACTCTTAGAAATGTCCGAACATCCAAATTTCACCACTGATCAAGGTGAGGCAGTTCCTATGGTTCCCCTTTGGACCCCGAGATGCACCACGATGTGGAGAGCAGCCCACACATGCATGCTGGGTGAAATGAAGCTGGTTGTGTCTGGCTGTAGAGCCCAGGCAAGGACAGGGATCAGGCTTGAACTCAGGAAATGCTTGCTACAGCCCAGGTTGGGCTTACCGCTGTGAAAACACAGGCTGGCGGATCCATAGTGCTGCACCCTCGGTTCCTGATGTGTACAGTGCACACAAGCACCTCGTGTCCCAAAGACTCAAGTGGTTGATGGTCTTTCCTACCTTCGGTAGGACCCGAAGAGCAAATGTTTCCCAGTGCCTCCTGGTCTGGCTTCTCCTAGAAACTCTGATTCTCTGTAATTAGAAAAAAAGTGACAGAAGCAAGTATTTCATGCTTGACATTCCCTGGAGTTCCTCGTATTTAACAAGAGAGGATCCATCTCAGAACCCCTCATATCAAGCACATTCTTGTACAGAGCAGCATTGCTCTTATAAATATTCAGCCAAAAAATTGTGGCCTCTTTAGTTTACCTAAGTCAGTATTTAAGCAACTGAAGTGGAAACCTCTTAAAACTAAAAAGGTTTGATTCATGGGGGGAGGATCTAGAGTTTTCATTCCGTAAGAGCCCAAATTTATCTAAGTTCTTGAGGTCATTGCCCTGTGTCTGGGGCCAGTTGCTTACTTCTCAAACTTGAGTAATGTAATTTGGGGGGTAAAACCATCCTCACAAAGGTATTTTGTGAAGCTTTCAAAATTTAAAATTTGAAAGCAATGGCAAAATATTTTGCACCAAGAGTAGGTTAACACATAGTAGTTATTATTAATTACTACCATGGTGATTATCGTTCAGCACTTGCACTGTAGCATTTATAATGCTGATCAGAAGGGTGGCTGGACATGGGGATTGGAATTAGTCTGTTTCATGCTCATTTCCTTTCTTCGCCATATGATGTGGGCCAAGCCACTTTTATGTTATGCCCTGCAGTTGTCTTCCTCACAAAATAGAGAAGAATAGCATGTCGGTATCTTGGTAAAAAATGGAGGAGCAGGGGAGAGAGAAAGAGGGAGGAGCGGGAGGTAGGGGAATGAGGCACGGCAAGCCGTGCATGCTGTTTTCCTTTGGGGAGGCACCTTGTGTGGCACACAATCGTGGTCACCTTGTGGAACAACCTGGGAAACTTAGTCCAGGAGAAGTGATTTGAGTCACTGATAGAGACTGCAGTCACCACTAACGTTTCCCCTGGAGAAGAGGTCCTGCTTTGAACCAATAACACAAATACCGTCATGTCTGGGGAAGGCTGAGCGGGTGTGCTCCGTGCATTGGAGGGCAGCTCCTATGAAGGCAGATGATTCCAGCCACTGTGCTCTTGCTGGGAGCATCCGTCCCACTTCTCCAGGGGGCAAGGGTCTCCCCTAACTATTTTGGCACATGTAGCCTTTACCTCTCTATACCAAGGCCCTTAACGGACACCACGACCGCTCTGAGCACTTCTGAAACTGCCTTGTTCTGTGAAGCTGGGCCCCTTTCTCATCAGCAGGCCCTGGCTCCTTCACTCCTGTGTCCTCAGAGCCTCACACATGGAGTGGCACACAGCACCCCTGAGTGAATGCAGAGTGTGATGCTCTGTGCCGAGAGCCTTGGAGCTGGGTTCAGAGGGGCATCTTTCTACTTCCCATGGGTCAGACCTGGAGGAGTTTCCTGGTTCCTCAGCCCTGGTGTGAGGACGTGTGACAGAATCATCCCAGCACCGATGCCAGACCCATCTGGTTCCCCTCAACCCCCACCCCCGCAGATTCTTTCTGCTTCTTGGCTGTGTAGATTTGGGTAAATGAATTTACATGTCTGAGCCCCACCCTGGCCAAGTAGAATACAGCAAAGAAAATTAATCAGAAGTTACGGCAGTTTCCTGACACATAGAACAGGTTCAGCAAGCTATAGAAATTTTTGTTTTTAGGTGATGTGCCCCATTTCACAGCAGCAGTTTCTTCTGTGAGCCTCAGCATCCTCAGTGTAACATGGAAATATTAGCAAAGTGCATACAGTGGCACAGATTGGGTACAATGGATGGGATTTCCATCCTTCTGTGGAACAGCATGTCAATATTTGTGGGAATCCCTCTGTGACTGAGGGGGGGTCTTTTCCTTTTGTCCTTCTTGATATTACCATTGGGGGGACGCAGTGCAACAGAATTCTAGAAAATAAGGATGCACTAAACATTAAAACATTTTCAGAACAGGAGAGTTGACAGAAATACTCTAGGTTTTATAGAATATTCCTAACCCATCTGTTGTTTGTGAAAAGGAAAAACTAACCTAAAATGCACTTTTAAAAAATTGACATGAGTGTAATTCTTATTTCTTATTTAGAACGTCATTGCTTCTTTTAATCGAGTATAGAAAAATCAGGGAAAGCAAGTGTTATTCTCCCAGTTTTTGGGCAGCCGAATTATTTGTGCAAGATCACAAATGTAGTAAGAAGAGCATGAAGAGCTCATGTTCAGAGTCTGTCCCATGAATCTACAATATCTTTCTCTGTAACTAAAACATAGGCCAACAAACAGCTGCCAGCTTGATAAAGACAGAGGTGGCCAAACAACTTGAACATCTTCCCACTGTACTAAGCTGCTGTGCATGTCCAGGCTCTAGAATGTCCACAGATTTTTGGTGTCTGTCTACAGATGGAGATCTCCCTGGAGCCGGCCAACATGACCAGGGTCCAGCACTTCGTCCTCCTGGGCCTGTCCACCAGGCTGAGCACCAGGGACGCCCTCTTTGCCGTCTTCCTGGCCCTCTACCTGCTCACCCTCCTGGAGAACACGCTCATCATCTACCTCATCTGCAGGCACACTGAGCTCCACAAGCCCATGTACTTCTTCCTGGGCAACCTCAGCGGCCTGGAGATGTGCTACGTTTCTGTGACCATGCCCACACTGCTCGTGGGGCTGTGGACTGGGCCCTACCGTATTTCCTTCATGACCTGCATGACCCAACTCTTCTTTTTCATAACCCTCATCGGAACAGAGTGCACCCTCCTGGCCGCCATGGCCTATGACCGCTACGTGGCCATCTGCCGCCCACTGCACTACCCGCTTCTCATGCGGCCCCAGGTCTGCCTGGGCCTGGCCCTCTCCTCCTGGCTGGGTGGCCTGCTGGTCTCAGCAGCAAAGACAAAATGCATCGCCAGCCTGACTTACTGTGGCCCCAACGTCCTCAACCACTTCTTCTGTGACGTCTCCCCTCTGCTCAACCTGTCCTGCACCCACGTGGCCCTCACGGAGCTGGTGGACTTCATCTCCGCCATCGTCATCTTCTGTGGGACACTCCTGGTGGCCTTGGCCTCCTACTCGGCCATCACCATGGCTGTGCTCCGCATGCCATCGGCTGCCGCCCGGCGCAAAGCCTTCTCCACCTGCGCCTCCCACCTGCTGGTGGTGGGCATCTTCTACTCGGTGGCTCTCTTCATCTATGCTCGTCCCAGACGCATAGAATCCGTGGATCTCAACAAGGTGCTGTCGGTCGTCTACACAGTGGTGACACCCATGTGCAACCCGGTCATCTACTGCCTGCGGAACAGGGAGGTCCAGGCAGCTTTCAGAAGAACCCTTTGGTGGTCCAGAGGTTGACCAGCTGTTGGAGTGTATCTTTTGGGGTGACCTAAAGTTAGCAACACCTTATTATTGTTGAGATTAAAAATCCACACGTCAGAAACGTCATCCTTTAAGCATGTATGATGCAGTGATATATTCATTTTACTTACAAAGTCATGCACTACCACCACTATTGAATTCCTGAAAGCTGTCATTGTTTCCATTACAAAATACATACACATTAGCAGTTATTCTCAATACCCACTCCTACCACACCCAGATCCAGGAAGCCAACAGTCTATCTTCTGTCTCTCTAGGTTTTCCTGTTCTGGATGTTTTATGGAAACACAATAATGAATATGTGGCCTCATGTGACTTGCTTCTTTCATGTGGTGGGTTTTGAGGCTCACGCACATTTTACCATGTGTCATTACTTCACTACTCTAATAGGCCATGTACAATGAGGCCGTGTTTTATTTGTTCATTCTCCAGCTGATGCACGTATGGGTTGCTTCCACTTTGGAGCTACTGTGGATTAACCCTATTGGAAACACTTGTGTCCAGCTTTGAGTGGGTCTGTTTCTACTTCTCTTGAGTCTACACCCAGGTGTTTATGTTACACCTTTGCAAAGTGGTAAATCCATAGTTTTGAGATGTGCTTTCAAATTATTTCAGATGTATGTGTGAAGATAGACAAGGCTGAGTCATACACATATGATTTACAGGTGAAACAATGCACACGAACAGAAAATCCAAAACCCCCATTCGTGTGACTTGGAAATGCTGATGAGAATGGTTATGTCATCACTGTATCACTGGGAAAATTAAAATGACTTCTACCCTACAGCCACGGAGGCCTGCAGAAGTGGGTGTTGCTGTCATGCATTGCTCGTGGTGGCATAAACTATTAGATCTACCTTGGAGAGCAGCTGCATAGCATCTATTAAAATTATGATGTGTGTACACATGACCCAGAACCTCCACTTCTGCAAATATCTCCAAGGAAAATCAGAGCCTGTAAAAAATAGTCAAATAAGAACATTTGTTCTGGGACTGTTTTCAGGGGCCCAAGCTAGAAAAAATGTAAACATTGACCAATAATACAATGACTGAATAAATTACGGTACCTCTATATTGTCAAATATGTAACAGTTATTTTTCCAAGGATTACTTATGTCTCTATTTTTGCCATGGGGTATGACATACTTATAAATTCCAGAGTGAATTTTAAAATAAATTTTCCTTTGAAATGCTTCAGGAAGAAAAGACTCTTGCTTCCACAGAGCAAAAATAAAACCTTTGCACTTACTCTTCAAATATTTTTGAAAAGAGAAACTTCTTATATGTCTAGAAATGTTTGACACAAGCTTTGGAACACACACTCAGAACTGAAGTGAGAACACTTTTTGTAAATGTCAGAAGCTAAAAACATATTAACTCAATATGGGAAGCTGTTTTCCGAGGGCCATTTGGCACTACCCATGCAAATCCAAGAGGCATGGACATTGTGCAAATACCATGATTACCGAGTTTTGCAAAGAAAATAATTTAAAATGCTTAACACTGTTCAGGTTTGAAAATGTTCAGCAGATTTTGTGCTTTAGTGAAAAACTATTGCCATAAATCTCTAATTTAACACAGATATGAAAGCATGCACAAACACACAATGGAATCCGATGATATCTTGTGAAACTAGTTTTTAATTTACTACAGGAAAAAAGACAACTGTATATTGTAAAGGGGAAACACTGGGTAAAACACAGTATTGCACCATAATGCCCATTTATTCTTTGTTTTGTTAAAATTAAGTTTATTGGTACAATTTAGATATACATAAAGATCATATTCAATGGAATATGAAATTTATACTTGTAAAGGATATATTTTGATTTCTCCTTTTTTTCCCAGTCCCCTCCCTTCCATTCAACTCTTCTTTTTTTTTTTTATTTTAAAGAGTAAAAGAAGGATAACATGGTAATAGGGAGATTTACCAAAATA